GTGCTCACTGCACACAGCTCCTCCCAGCTGGGTCGGGGCCTCATCCTGTGCTTTCTTCGCCCCTGATTCTGCAGACGAGTATGTGTCTTCTTCCCGCTCGCTTGGCCTCCCTGTGACAGCCTCCTCCGAGGGTCATCGGCTCCCCGGCCATGGCCCCCCATCGTCCTCAGCTCCCGGGGCCTGCGCCCAGCCCCCTCCACACTTGCCCACCAAGCTCGTGATCCGGCACGGCGGGGCAGGCGGCTCCCCTTCGGTCACCTGGGCCAGGGCATCCTCTTCCCTGTCCGCCGCTTCCTCCCTGGACGCCGACGAGGACGGCCCCATGCCTTCCCGCAACCGCCCGCCCATCAAGACCTACGAGGCCCGGAGCCGCATTGGGCTCAAGCTCAAGATCAAGCAGGAAGCCGGGCTCAGCAAGGTCGTGCACAACACGGCCCTGGACCCCGTGCACCAGCCCCCGCCGCCCCCAGCCGCCCTCAAGGTAGCCGAGCCCCCGCCGCGGCCCCCGCCACCCCCGCCTCCCACGGGCCAGATGAACGGTACCGTGGACCACCCGCCGCCCACCGCCCCCGAGCGCAAGCCCCTGGGCACCGCCCCACATTGCCCGCGCCTGCCGCTGCGCAAGACCTACCGCGAGAACGTGGGGGACCCCGGCGCCCAGGAGGGGACGCCCGCGGGCAGGGCGCGGGGAGGCAGCCCAGCCCCGCTGCCGGCCAAAGTGGACGAGGCCACCAGTGGGCTCATCCGCGAGCTGGCGGCAGTGGAGGACGAGCTGTACCAGCGCATGCTCAAGGGAGCCCCACCGGAGCCCGCAGCAAGTGCCGCCCAGGGCACCGGGGACCCGGGCTGGGAGGCTCCCGCGCTGCCCCCCGCCAAGCGGCGCAAGTCCGAGTCGCCCGACGTGGACCAGGCCAGCTTCTCCAGCGACAGCCCGCAAGACGACACGCTCACCGAGCACCTGCAGAGCGCCATCGACAGCATCCTGAACCTGCAGCAGGCCCCCGGCCGGACACCCGCGCCCCCGTACCCCCACGCCGCCCCGGCCGGCACGCCCGCCTCCCCGCCACCCCTGCACAGGCCCGAGGCCTACCCGCCCTCCAGTCACAACGGTGGTCTTGGCGCCAGGACGTTGACCAGATAACACCGGGCCGGCTTCCCTTCCCCTCCCCTCGTCCTGCAGACGCCGCCAGGACAGCCGCGCGTCCACCCCCAGCCTCCTGCGGACTCGAGCCGGGGATCCCCTGACGGTTTTTCTTGCCTAAGTTATTTGAGTCACAAAGGCCTCCGTCCCCACCACCTGTGGCTGGGTGGCTGGGGGGTGGGCATGGCGGCGGCGTGGATTTCGGGGAGGGGCTGTGCTGCCAAACGTCCCCCCTGCCAGAGGAGGGGCAAATCGGTGTGTCCATTCCTGTCTTCCCACTTCCTGGCACACTCTGCCCCTCTGCCCGGAGGACACGTGCGTGTGTTTGCCAGGGATGGGGCCGCCAGGTTGATGCCAACGCTCCGGGTGCCTGTCTTGTCCGTGTGGCTTCACTGATGGTGGAGGGCGCTGGGAGCTGGCAGGGTCCTTCCAGACAGGCTCGGCTTCTCCCCACCACCCCCAACAGGCCGTTAAACAAAACCAGAGAGGGAGTGGAGGAGCCAGCCTCCCTGCGCGCTGTACCCGCAGGCACCCGTGTGACATGCGCACGTCCAGCGCGTGACCTGTGTTCGTGTGTGTGTGTGTGTGTGTGTGTGTGTGTGTGCGTGTGTGTGTGCGCGCGCTCGCGCGCAAGTGAGAGAGATTTCGAACGCTCCCATCTCTCGACTTTGAAATCTGAGCAAAACAAGAAATTGGGGTCTTCCTCTCCCCCAACCCCCTCCCCAGCCAGTCTTCCCTCTGTTCTTCCTGCCTCCATCCACCCGCGCCAGATTTTGAAATCTCGGAGACAAAACTAGTACTGTAAGATAAAGTTTTTTGTACTGTATTTATTGTGTATAACGATTTTTTTAAAGGAGAATTCTGTACATTTAGAACTCTTGTAAATTAAAAACCAATCCTTTTTTTAAAACTGTACTCAAGCCCCCTTGGCCCATTGCTTTGGGTGTTTGAGGGTGGGGGGGTCTTCGGATCTGGGTTGTGAGGCCGCCTTCTGTTAAGTGTTGCTGGAGTGTCAGGCTCCGTTCTAGCCTCGGGGGGTTCGACATGAACAAGGCAGGCGAGACTTCCGCTAAGAAGCCGACTTGGTAGTGAGGAAGGCAGACAGTAAACAGCTAAGCTGAATCCAGCCAATTCTTATTCCCCTGAGGTTCTGTGGTCTCTGCAGACACTGAAAATTAGTGAATACCAGGCCATTACCCCCAGGGAGACAGGGTGAGTTTCTCGAGAGCCTCTGATCACCACATTTTGGTCAATACATTACCTTGGTTTACGTGTGTTGCTGTTTAAAAACATTTATGTACTTTTGAGACGGGCTGACTGTCACCCAGGCTGGAGTGCAGTGGCACGATCGTGGCTCACTGCAGCCTTGACCTCCCGGGCTCAAGTGATCCTCCCACCACAGCCCCCCAAGTAGCTGGGATCACAGGTGCACCACCACACCCAGCTAATTTTTGTATTTTTAGTAGAGATGGGATTTCACCACGTTGGCCAGGATGGTCTCGATCTCTCGACCTCCTGATTTGCCTGCCTTGGCCTCCCAAAGTGCTGGGATTACAGGCGTGAGCCACCAACCCTGGTGTCACTTCTCTTCTAAGAGCACTGGCCATATTGGAGTTGGATGGCTGCATGCCTGCTTGAGACGGAGTTTCACTCTTGTTACCCAGGCTGGAGTGCAATGGCGCGATCTCGGCTCACCGCAACCTCCGCTTCCCGGGTTCAGGCAATTCTCCTGCCTCAGCCTCCTGAGTAGCTGGGATTACAGGCACGCACCACCATGCCCAGCTAATTTTTTGTAGTTTTAGTAGAGACGGGGTTTCACCGTGTTGACCAGGATGGTCTCGATCTCTTGACCTTGTGATCCACCCGCCTCAGCCTCCCAAAGTGCTGGGATTACAGGCTTGAGCCACCGCGCCCGGCCTGCCATATTGGATTTTTGCCCATCCTACCAGTATGCGCTTCTAACTTAATTATCTCCAAAGACCCTGATTCCTTTTTTTTTTCTTTTTTTTTCCTTCTAGCTTTCTTTACACCAGAGACCCTGATTCCACATAAAATTACATTCACAGGTACTAGCATTAGGACGTCAGCATATATTTTGAGAGGACACAACAGCTCGCTCCATAATGCAGGTTAATGAGGTGGGTGTCCCGAGTGAGTGACAATTATCTGGGCTGGTTGTGTGGGGGTAAGAGAATTTACCAAGACAGTTGTAGGGAAAGAAAGGCAGATTTGTGGGCTCACACCTGTTATCCCAGCACTTTGGGAGGCTGAGGTGGGTGGATCACCTGAGGTCAGAAGTTTGAAACCAGCCTGGTCAACATGGTGAAACCCTGTCTCTGCTAAAAAATACAAAAATTAGCCAGGTGTGGTGGTGGGCACCTGTAATCACAGCTACATGGGAGGCCAAGGCAGGAGAATTACTTGAACCCAGGAGGGGAGGTTGCAGTGAGCTGAGATGGCACCATTGCACTCCAGCCTAGGAAACAAGAATCAAACTCCATCTCAAAATAATAAATAAATTAAACAAACAAAAATGAGCTGGTGCACACCTGTGGTCTCAGATACTTGGGAGCTGGGACAATCACTTGAGCCCAGGAGACGGAAGCTGCAGTGAGCCAAGATTGCACCACTGCACTCCAGCCTGGCCACAGTGAGAAAAAACGGAAAGGCAGATTTATGAAATAAAGTAGGAAAATACCGTGCATAGTTGCAATAGGCAGCACAGCCAGTGAGAAGCTGACCAAGAAAGAAAGACTTGCTGCTGGGGGTTGTCTAGGACGGAGCTGGTTTTTTTGTTTGTTTTTTAGATGGAGTTTTGCTCCGTCACTCAGGCTGGAGTGCAGTGGCATGATCTCAGCTCACTGCAACCTGGGTTCAAGCTGTTCTCCTGTCTCAGCCTCCTGAGTAGCTGGGATTACAGGCGCCCACCTCCACGCCCGGCTGATTTTTGTATTTTTAATAGAGATCAAACTCCTGAGCTCAAGTGATCCATCTGCCTCTGCCTCCTAAAGTGCTGGGATTACAGGTGTGAGCCACCACGCCCGGCCATATATTTATTTATTTAAGACAGAGTCTCACTCTGTCACCCAGGCTGGAGTGCAGTGGTCTGATCTCAGCTATCGGGTTCAAGTGATTCTCCTGCCTCAGCCTCCCTAGTAGCTGGGATGACAGGGTTGTGCCGCTGCACCCACCTAATTTTTGTGTTTTTTTAGTAGAGATGGAGTTTCACCATTTTGGCCAGGCTGGTCTCCAACTCCTGACCTCAAGTGATTCACTGGCCTCAGCCTCCCAAAGTGCTGGGATTGCAGGCATGAGCCACCGCGCCTGGCCCTATTATATTTTTAGAGGTGAGTTCCAGCTCTGTCACCCACGCTGGAGGGCAGTGGCACAATCACAGTGAGTGGCACTCACTGCAGCCTTGACTTCCTGGGTTCAAACGATCCTCCCACCTCACCCTTCTGAGTTGTTGGGATTAGAGGTGTGCTCCCTTGCGCCCGGCTAAATTATTTTATTATTTATTATTTATTTTTATTTTTAATAGACATGGGGTCTCGCTGTGTTGCTCAGACTCCTGGCCTCAAGCAATCTCCCCATCTTGGCCTTCCAAAGTGTTGGGGTTACAGGTGTGAGCCAGGTCACCCGACCTAAATTATTGTTACTATTATTGCTGCTGCTGTTGTGATTCCCGTGTTAAGAAGAGACAGATTGGTGAGCGGCCCAACGCCAGAGGTGGAGGTGGAATTCGAACCACGGGCTGGACGCTGGAGCTCTCGCCCGCCGCGCTAAGGCGTCCTCCTCGCTCTCCACCAGGGGGCGCCAGAGGCCGGGAGCCCGGTTTGGGGACCGAGACGAGGGGGGGCGCCTCGTCCCGCCCCTCCCTACCGTCCTCCCTCCCGTTCTCTCCGCTCCGGGCCCCACCCGGCTCAGACGGCTCCGGACGGGACTGCGAGCACAGGCCGCTCCAAGGGCGCCTCGGATCCCCGCGGGACCCCCGCGCCCAGCCCGCCCAGCCCGCTGCAGCCGCCAGCGCGCCCCGTCGGTGAGTGCTCCCCGCACCGCAGCTGTGGCCTCCCGACCCCGCCCGAGCCTGCCCTGGTTCCGCGTGCATGATCCCTGCTCCTCACCACCCTGTCCCGAGTCTCTAACGGTCTCCCCCGGTGTCCCCCTGTCCCTTCCAGTCTGCACCAGTCCCCCCAGTCTCTAACCCTGTACCCCACCCCCCACTCTTCCTACAGTCTCTCCCACTGCCCCAGTCTCCTCCTTTTCCCCCAACGCCCCGCCCCAGCCCCCCAACACCCCTCCCCACCCTCCGCAACACTCCTCCCTATCTCCTGGCTAGAGGAGATCCTCTCTGGGGTCTCCCTTCACGTCCTCATCCCTATCGGTTAACTTGGTCCCTCCGGCCACTCAAGAGCCCCTGCCTGTCCTGCCCCCAACTCCATCAGCCGCTGCCTTCAGCCAGCACCAGGCATTCTCCCCAGCTCTCTCCCAGGGCCCATCCTGCCTGCAGCACCGCCCAGAGCGCTCTCCCTCTGCCCACATCCCAGATCCTGCCCCTCTTGTCCATTCCTGCGACTCTTCACGAACTCCTTCTCCTTCTATGTCCGCCCCCGTCACCACCCCTTTTAAAAGTCCCATGATTTTATGGATTTTAGCATATTCGATTCACACTGATTTTGATGCTCAAATTGCCCCATTTTGGGCCAGTGGGAGCCCCTGCAAGCTGGGTCCTCTGTCCCTGAAACATCCCCATCCGCCTCTGAGCACTTCCTCAGCGTCTTCCCCAGGCTCACTTGTTCTTCCCTGCCCCAGCCCTGGAGCCCACCATTTCTCCAAGGAGTCCCGGGTTCTTTTAGTGGGGAATGGTAGGTAGAGACTCCAATCTAAGCATAAACAGAGACCAATCATGTTTGAAAAAAAAAAGAAAGAGGCCGGGCGCGGTGGCTCACGCCTGTAATCCCAGCACTTTGGGAGGCCGAGGCGGGTGGATCACGAGGTCAAGAGATCGAGACCATCCTGGTCAACATGGTGAAACCCCGTCTCTACTAAAAATACAAAACATTAGCTGGGCATGGTGGTGCGTGCCTGTAATCCCAGCTACTCAGGAGGCTGAGGCAGGAGAATTGCCTGAACCCAGGAGGCGGAGGTTGCGGTGAGCCGAGATCGCGCCATTGCACTCCAGCCTGGGTAACAAGAGCGAAACTCCGTCTCAAAAAAAAAAAAAAAGAAAAAAAGAAAAAAAAAAGAAAGAAAAGCAAAGACACACACATATGCCTGATATTAGGAACGAAAGAGGGGACAGCACTACAGACCCAACGGTGAATAAAAGGCTAGTAAGGGAGGGAAGAGAGAGAACTCAGCCTTGGGGGCTGGGGTGCTCACTGCTCCTGCGACGGTCATTGTTCCCCTCCGTAACTCAGATCCGTCAACCTGTGATGATTTCGAGCTCCGAGTTCAGGGTGCCTGGGTTTGAGGCCCAGCTTGAGCATCTTCTTTTTTTTCTTTTCTAATTTTTTTTCTGTCACCAGGCTGGAGTGCAGTGGTGAGATTTCAGCTCACTGCAACCTCCGCCTCCCGGGTTCAAATGATCCTCCTGCCTCAGGCTCCCCAGTAGCTGGGACTACAGGCGCCCACCACCATGCCCAGTTAATTTTTATATTTTTAGTAGAGACGGGGTTTCACCATGTTGGCCAGGCTGGTCTCGATCTCTTGACCTCGTGATCTGCCCACCTCGGCCTCCCAAAGTGCTGAGATTACAGGCTTGAGCCACCCGCGCCCTGCCTGGGCATTTTCTAGCTAAGTGATTTTGGGTAGTTTATTCCTGTCTTCCGGAGCCTCCTTTGCCTTTTTAGAAAAGCGGGGATGATAATAGACCGACTTCACTGGGTTATGAAGGTAAAGTGAGTTAGCACAGCCCCTGGCATGCGGTGGTTGTAAATGTTGTGTTATTTTTCTTGTTAAAACCCAAGGGCCCTCATGCCCTGGTCCACCCAGGAAACCTTCTCAGCGCCATTTTTCACCCCTCCTCTTTGTGCCCCTGTGTCTGGCCACCCACCCAGATGTTTCATGGCTGCCAACACACCAGGACCTCTCACGCCCCCAGGCCTTTGCACTCGCCATCCTCTCTGCTTAAATCCCCTTGTCTTGCCTGCTCTTCACGGAGCAGCTCAAAAGCCAGCCCCGCCCTGAGTCGCACTGGCGCTGTGGTCAGTTTCTCACGCCCTCCTCTGGGTGTCGGGCATGCGTTCTGTCCTCACTGCGGGCTCTGGGTGGGTGGGGGAAGATTTCTGGCTCATTTCTGGGTCCATGGTGCCTGAAGCATGGAGTGAGGGATTTCAGTGAACATGTGTCAGATGATGGACGGAGAAGGGAGGAAGAAATGAATGAAGGGATTAAGGAATCATTTCTTCCGGCAGCTTCTGCATCCTTCGCCTGGTCCATCCTTCCACCACCATCATCCTTCCGACCAAATCACCGTCAGTCTCTCTCTTCCCCCAGCTGCTTCGCTATCACCTCCCTCTTTTTTTTTTTGAGACGGAGTCTCACGCTGTCAAGTGCAGTGGCGGGATCTCGGCTCACTGCAACCTCCACCTCCCGGGTTCAAGCGATCCTCCTGCCTCAGCCTCCCAAGTAGCTGGGACGACAGGCGTGTGCCACCATGCCTGGCTAATTTATTGTATTTTTAGTAGAGATGGCGTTTCACTGGTCAGGCTGGTCTCAAACTCCTGACCTCAGGTGGTCCACCCGCCTTGGCCTCCCAAAGTGCTGGGATTACAGGTGTGAGCCACCGTGCTCAGCCTTTTTTTTTTTTTTTTGAGATGATGTCTTGCTCTGTAGCCCAGGCTGGAGTGCAGTGGTATGATCATAGCTCACTGCAGCCTTGAACTCCTGAGCTCAAGCAATCCTCCTGCCTCAATCTCTCAAAGTGCTGGGACTACAGGCATGTACCACCATGCCCTGCTAATTATTTTTTTTTGGAGGGATGATGAGGGGGAGTCTCACTATTTTACCCAGGCTGGGCTGGAACTGCTGACCTCAAGCGATCCTCCTGCCTCAGCCTCCCAAGATATTGGGATTGCAGGCATGAGCCACCACGCCCGGCCCAATTCCCATCTTCCTCCTGCTCCGTGACCAGCCATTTGTGACCCCGAATACCTGTGCCCCTCCTCCTCCGCCGCCACCCGTCCTGCCACGCAGACATTCTACATCCAGTCCCCTTTCCTCCTCCTTGGCCGGGCAGCGCAGGCTCACGGCCTCCCCTCTCCTCCAGGCAGATCTTCACCTGCTCGTCTCTCCGCGAACCCCGTGGGCAGGCGCGACCACCATGTTCAGCTGGCTGAAGCGGGGCGGGGCCCGGGGCCAGCAGCCCGAGGCCATCCGCACAGTGACCTCGGCCCTCAAGGAGCTGTACCGCTCGAAGCTGCTGCCTCTGGAGGAGCACTACCGCTTCGGGGCCTTCCACTCGCCGGCCCTGGAGGACGCAGACTTCGACGGCAAGCCCATGGTGCTGGTGGCCGGCCAGTACAGCACGGGCAAGACCAGCTTCATCCAGTACCTGCTGGAGCAGGAGGTACCCGGCTCCCGCGTGGGGCCCGAGCCCACCACCGACTGCTTCGTGGCCGTCATGCACGGGGACACCGAGGGCACCGTGCCCGGCAACGCTCTCGTCGTGGACCCAGATAAGCCCTTCCGCAAACTCAACCCCTTCGGAAACACCTTCCTCAACAGGTGCACCAGCCACGAGCCCAGGGCGCGCCCATCCCCCTCCCTCCCTCCCTTCCCCCCTCCCTTCCCTTCTCTTCCCTTCTCTTTCCCTCCCTCCCTCTTCCTCTTCCCCTCCCTCCCTCCCTTCCTTCCTCTCTCCCTCCCTCCCCCTTCCCTCCCTTCCCTTCCTCCTTCCTTCCCTCCCTCCTTCCTTCCCTCCCTTTTCCTCCCCTCCCTCCCTCCCTCCCTCTCTCCTTCCTTCCTTCCTTCCTTCCTTCCTTCCTTCCTTCCTTCTCTTCCTTCCTTCTTTCCTTCCTTTGCCAGGCTGGTCTCAAACTCCTGGCCTCAGGTGATCCACCCTCCTTGGCTTCCCAAAGTGCTGGGATTACAGGTGTGAGCCGCTGCGCCTAGCCCTGGGGGTGCATCTTGCTGTCCCCCTTCTCTGTCCCCTCCCTGATGGTGTTTCCCTCCTTCTTAGCCCCGATTCCCTTCTCTCTACCCAATTCTCCCCAAGCCCCTCCGCTCTCTTCTCCAGGGGAGTGCTGAGGCTGGTGAAGTCAGCATGCCTGGGGCAATCCCGGCCAGTGGGGCGGCCTCAGGCAAATGAGTTGGCCTCTTTGCCCCTCTTGTAGCCTCATCTGCAAAATGGGCATCAATCACCTTGGCCAACATGGTGAAACCCGTCTCCAGCAAAAATACAAAAGATGAGCCGGGCGTGGTGGTGTGCGTCTGTAATCCCAGCTACTCAGGAGGCTGAGGCAGGAGAATCGCTTAAACCCGGGAGGCGCAGCTTGCAGTGAGCCGAGATCGCACCACTGCACTCCAGCCTGGGTGACAAGAGCGAAACTGCGTCCTAAAAATATATATAAAATTGAACAGCACCCGGCACAGATGAAGTGCTCCCTGAACACGAGTTATGGATGGCTCTGAGGCAGTCCCGCTCTCGCCGTCTCTGTCCGGACTTTTTCTTTGCCTGTACAGGATGCTCTGCCTCGGGCCCAAGGCCCTCCTCATGCTTTCCCTCCGCCTGTCCTTCCCTGCGCTGACCCCAATCCTCTGCCTCCAGGTTCATGTGTGCCCAGCTCCCCAACCAGGTCCTGGAGAGCATCAGCATCATCGACACCCCAGGCATCCTGTCGGGTGCCAAGCAGAGGGTGAGCCGAGGTGAGTGGGGCCAGACCCCGGGGTCTAAGGAAGGAGGGGCTGGGCCTGGAACCCTGGGTCTGAGGGAGGAGGGGCTGGGGTCTGGACTCCTGGGTCTGAGGGAGGGGGGTCTGAGGGTCAGGACTCCTGGGTCTGAGGGAGGAGGGGCTGGGGGCTGGACTCCTGGGTCTGAGGGAGGAGGGGCTGGGGTCTGGACTCCTGGGTGTGAGGGAGGAGGGGCTGGGGTCTGGACTCCTGGGTCTGAGGGAGGAGGGGCTGGGGGCCTGGACTCCTGGGTCTGAGGGAGGAGGGCGGGGTCTCCGCTGGGATCTGGGCCTGTGTCCTCTGGTCCTGGCTGGCGGGGCAGCTGCCTGGAGCTAGTGGAAGCCGTGACTGCTCGGTGCTGGCTGGCGCTGATGGGTGGGGGAGGTGTGTGGGTGACCACGTGGTGGGAGTGGGCAGGAGCGGCGTGTCTGGGCAGTCAGTTAGAATGGGAAGGGAGAGGTGAAGAGGGACGGGGATTCCGAGGCAATGAGGCAGCAGTGCGGGGAGACACAGGCCCAGAGGCGAGGCAGCGCCCCGGCAGGGGAGGCTGGGCCCTGGACCTCCTGGCTCTGCGTCGGGGCCACAGATGGGGCTGAGAAGGGGATGGGAGGGGAATCTGGGTGGGGGCCAAGGCCGGGCCTGGAATTTATAAACAGCTGCGCGAGGAGAGCGGGGGATGGATTCCAGCAGGGGCCTCCGGGTGCGCCGAGCCCCCCCCGCCGTCCCCGCCCAGCTCCGCATCTGTGGCCCCCACCCCCCACGGCCTTGGAGGCCCGGAACTGGGGCAAAGGAGGCGGCCATGCGGCGCAGAGGGCATGGGAGGCCCCAGCAAGGAGGCTGGGCCCGGGGTGCGGCGGGGGCGCCGGGGGTGAGCGTGTCCCTGGCCGCCGTCCAGAGGCCCCACGGGAGAAAGGCAGGAGGCAGCTGCAGAAACCATTGGGAGGACGCGCTGCCTGCCAAGGGGTGGATCCTGGGGCTCCCACCGCGGGGCCTGGGACTGGGGCAGCGGGGCTGATGGAGCGGCCCTCTCAGCCAGGGCAGGGGTGCGGGCAGGGGGCGTGGGGAGTGGGGAACGGGGTCTCCTTCCCTGGCCTTGAGGGCAGAGGAAGAGGGGGAGAGAGTGCCCATCTGTTGGTGTCTGTGTGTGTGACTTGCTGCATATCTTGGGAAAGTGTGTCATTGTGAGTGTACAGCTGGGTGTGGTGGTTCCTCGTGTTTGCGTGGACATGCCTCACCGGAGCCATGACTCTGAGGTTGTGTGACTTCCAATTGTGTACATGCCTCTGCGTGTGTGTGTGTGTGTGTGTGTGTGTACCTATGATTGTGGCTGCATGACTTTGTTTCGTCTGCTTTTGCGGCAGCCTCCCTCTGTCGCCCAGGCTGGAGTGCCGTGGTGCGATCTTGGCTCACTGCAACCTCCGCCTCCGGAGTTTAAGTGATTCTTCTGCCTCAGGCTCCTGAGTAGGTGGGACTACAGGCGCGCACCACCACGCCCAGCTAATTTTTGTATTTTTTTTTTTTAATAGAGACGGGGTTTCATCATGTTGGCCAGGCTGGTCTTGAACTCCTGACCTCAGGTGATCCTCCTGTCTTGGCCTCCCAAAGTGCTGGGATTACAGGTGTGAGCCACCCCACACGGCCTGCTGGATGACTTTGTGTGACTCTGATGGCTGTGTAGGACTATGAGAGACTTTGTGTAATTGTATGCAACTGATTCTGTCCCTATAAACTGTTATATTGTGAAGTATGTGTGTGTGTGTGAGAAAGAGATACTGTGAGATGCACGATCACAGACACAGACACCCATATGTACAGATAGTCACAGAACACAGTTCACACCCACACAGACACAACCACACGCAGATAGCCTCCCATGCCCTCCCAGACCCAAAGGCACCCACACAGACACAACCACACATAGTTACACAAAAGATACACTCCTGCACACACATATTCTCACATACACAACGCCACACAGGAGCACACAGCCGTGTCCCGAGATACAATCATAGCAGTGGGTGTGCAACATCGTAGCTCTGAGGGTGTGTGACTTCAAATTGTGTACATGCTTCTGTGTGTGTGTACATGCATCTGTGCAGGTCCCAGCTTGTGAACACGGGTGTGTCTGGGAGCCAGCATCTTGTAGTACTTGGCTATATTTGTGTCCGGGTGTGTGCCACTGTGTGTCTGTGTGTGTGTGTGTGTGTGTGTGTGCAAGCTCGTGTGAGACTGCCTCTTTGTGTAAGATCTGTGAACACACGTGTGTGATTGTGGCATAGTAAATCCCTCCAGTCTAGGCTCTGATGCTTTTATTTATTTATTTTCTGCTACTTTTGTGGGACCTTGGGCAAGCCGCTTAACCTCTCTTTGCCTCAATTTTCTTATCTGCAAAATGAGAAAACATATAGGCCAGGCGTGGTGGTTCATGCCTGTAATCCCAGCACTTTGGCTGAGGCGGGCAGATCATCTGAGGTCAGGAGTTCGAGACCAGCCTGGCCAACAGGGTGAAACCCTCTCTCTACTAAAAATACAAAAATTAGCCAGGCATGGTGGCACGTACCTGTAATCCCAGCTACTCGGGAGGCTGAGGCAGGAGACTCACTTGAACCTGGGAGGCGGAGGTTGCAGTGAGCCGACATCGCTCCACTGCACTCCAGCCTGGGCAACAGAGTGAGACTCTGTCTCAAAAAACAAAAACCACAATGGGAATGATAACACTGGCAGCCTCATAGTTGTCCTAAGGGTTAAATTAGTTAAAAAACATACAAAGCACTTAGAACGGTATGTGTGCACACAGTAGGTGCTATGGAAGTGCCGGTGATGCCTGTTTTTCTCGGGCGAGTGCCCTCGTGGACCCTTCCTGCCACGTCTCCCATCCCACACTGACTCAACCCCTCTCCCTCCTTCCCTCCCTGCCCCATGAGACACACTTTCCAAATCTGGTCCAGTGTGTATGTTAGCGGAGACACTGGGAGGGGGAGGAGATCCAGCTGCTGTCCCTCCAGTGACCTGGCCCTTCCTCCCCCAAACAGTGCCCCCCCATCTGAGCCCCTGTGACGCCCTCAAGGAGGCTGCTTCCCCCCAGGCAGGATGGGCATGATCACCAGCTCTCCAGAGGGGCATAGAGACCCAGGGGGCTCCTCTTCTGTCCCCTCTTACCTCTGTGTCTTGAGTAAGTCCCCTGACTTCTCTGTGCCTCAGTTTCCTCATCTGGAAAATGGGGTCAGAACAGCGCCCACCTCCTGGGGTTGTCCTGAAGAGTCACTGAGTGAGTTCCATCTGGAGGGCATGAAGTGGGTAATTCGGTAATTTGGGCGGCTCCCTGTTCTGCTAGTTAACTCTTTGTCCTCCAGCTCCGCACTCTGCATTCCCTCTTCCAGGAAGTCCTCCCTGAAACCCCAGGCTGGGAACTGGGTCAGGCACTGGCCCCGGGCTCCCACAGCTCCCTGGGTCCCCCTGCCCATCCCAGCCTGATCACTCAGGGGCCAGGTCTGTGTTCCCAGTGGGCTGAGAGCTATAAGGACAGGGCCGGGACTGCCTCAGCCTCCACACACACGGCAGGTAGCGCAGGAGGTGCTTCCTGAGTGGATACCCCTGGGTGATGTCACCATGACTTGCTGAGCGCTTACTGTGCATCCAGCACTGTTTTTTAAAAACAGTTTCATTGAGGTTTAAGTAACGCGCCACAAAAGCTCAACCATTTTTTTTTTTAAAGGGACAAGGTTTTGCTCTGGCGCCAATTAACATTTGCTATGGCGAGAGCCCAGCGGTCCAGCATGAACTCCAGTTGCTGGATCGTGGGGAGATCCAACAGGTCCTGGAGAGAGGAGTTGGGGTGACAGAGGCGTGTGGCAGGCTGGGGGCTTCCACAGGAGCGCAGGGGGATCTCTCGGGAAACATGTCTGTATTTTTTTTCTTTTTTACAACATGTCTGTATTTTTAACAACCTACGAATACATACCCAACCACTAACATCTGCCTAATGAACGAGCGAATGAAAAAATGAACACTCCTGCCTGTAATCCGAACGTTTTGGGAGGCAGAGGCAGGAGGATCGCTTGAGCTCAAGAGTTTGAGGGCAGGCTGGGTAACATAGTGAGAACCCATCTCTACAAAAAAGAAAAAGAAAAAAGAAAAACCCAAAAACCAAAAATTAGCCAGGTGTGGTGACGCACACCTGCAGTCCCAGCTACTGGGGAGGCTGAGGGGAGGATCGCCTGAGCTCTGGGAGACGGAGTTTGCAGGGAGGCATGATCCCGCCATTGCACTCCAGCAAAAGAAAAGGAGGATGGACAGGGCGCGGTGGCTCACACCTGTAATCCCAGCACTTTGGGAGGCTGAGGCTGGCAGGTCACAAAGGTCAAGAGATTGAGACCATCCTGGCCAACATGGTGAAACCCCGTCTCCACTAAAACTACAAAAACTAGCCGGGCGTGGTGGCGCGTGCCTGTAATCCCAGCTACTCTGGAGGCTGAGGCAGGAGAATCGCTTGAACCTGGGAGGCGGAGGTTGCAGTGAGCCCGAGATCGCGCCATTGCACTCCAGCCTGGCGATAGAGTCAGACTTCATCTCAAAAACAAAAGAAAAAAAGCAAAGATGGGGTGACTGCCCCCTGTAGCCAGATGGCTTGAGGGGCTGGGGCCAGAGTGAGGGAGGAGATTCTGGGGCCTGGGAAGCCAGAGCAGGGTACCCACTGAGGGCGTTGGCTCTTTTGCCCAGACAGGATTTGAGCAGCCAACTACGTGAACATCTTTACAGTCCAATATGCAAGAGAATGGCTGGAGGGAGGGGGTCTGACTTCTGCCCTTTGCGCCCCTGTCTCCGCACTCCCTCGCCAGGCTACGACTTCCCGGCCGTGCTGCGCTGGTTTGCGGAGCGCGTGGACCTCATCATCCTGCTCTTCGACGCGCACAAGCTGGAGATCTCCGACGAGTTCTCCGAGGCCATCGGCGCGCTGCGGGGCCACGAGGACAAGATCCGCGTGGTGCTCAACAAGGCCGACATGGTGGAGACGCAGCAGCTGATGCGCGTCTACGGCGCGCTCATGTGGGCGCTGGGCAAGGTGGTGGGCACGCCCGAGGTGCTGCGCGTCTACATCGGCTCCTTCTGGTCCCAGCCCCTCCTCGTGCCCGACAACCGGCGCCTCTTCGAGCTGGAGGAGCAGGACCTCTTCCGCGACATCCAGGGCTTGCCCCGGCACGCCGCCTTGCGCAAGCTCAACGACCTGGTGAAGAGGGCCCGGCTGGTGCGGGTGAGTTGTCCGGGGGCTGGGCGCGCATTCTGGGAGGAGGGCGCAGGGGGAGCCCCTGCCTTTCCTCGGTCCTCGCCTACCAGTGCTGCGAGGCCCTGACTTACCAGTGCCCAGATCAGTTTTCTTGAAGTTGGGTCATTCCGGCGCGGAGTGGAGCGGGGAGGGGAACTGCAGGCATGCTCATTCCTCCGCCTCTCCATTTCTGTGTCAAATCCGTGGCTCCCTGGCTTTGCTGTCCTGATATTCCTTCTCTTCGTTCTTCTCCTTCTCCTCCTCCCCCTTCTTCCTCTTCCCCCTTCCTCCTCCTCCTCCTCCCTTCTTCTAATGCTCTCTCCCTTCCTCCCTCCTCCCTTTCTCCGTCCTTCCATCCTCTTTTCTTCCCTCTTCTTCCTTTTTTTTTTTTTTTTTAAGATGGGATCTTGCTCTGTTGCCCCTACTGGAGTGCAATGATGCAATCCCAGCTCACTACAGCCTTGAACCCCAGTGCTCAAGCGATCCTCCCTCCTCAGCCTGCCTCGGGTAGCTGGGACCAGAGGCACATGCCACCACACCCAGCTAATTTTTTATTTTTCATAGAGACGGGGTCTTGCTATGTTGCCTGCACTGGTCTTGAACTCCTGCCCTCAAGTGATCCAACTTCCTTTGGCCTTCCAAAGTGCTGGGATTACAGGCATGAGCTCTATTGAATTTTTGAGATTCCTATAAAATATAGACATGCCAATACTCATTATTCTACCCTCCTTGTTTATTTTTTGACAATTTATAAGATTGTGGCTCAAAGGTTCCCAAGTTCATTGGTTTATTCCACAAATATTTCTTTTCTTCTTCTTCTTTTTTCTTGAGACGGACTTTCATTCTCGTTGCCCAGGCTGGAATGCAATGGTGTGATCTCGGCTCACCGCTACCTCCACTTCTGGGGTTCGAGCCATCCTGCCTCAGCCTCCCGGGTAGCTGGGATTACAGGCACACACCACCATGGCTGGCTAATTTTGTATTTTTAATAGAGAAGGGGTTTCACCATGTTGGTCAGGCTGGTGACTCGAGGTCCAACTCCCTACCGCAGGTAATCTGCCGGCCCTGGCCTCCCAAAGTGCAGGGATTACAGGTGTGAGCCACTGTGCCCCACCCACAAATATTTCCTGAATGCTTTCTGTACGCATGGTTCTGGCACTGTGGATGGAGGGAACACTGTTGCTCTTTTCTTTTCTTTTCTTTCTTTCTTTCTTTCTTTCTTTCTTTCTTTCTTTCTTTTTAGACGGAGTCTCGCTCTGTCGCCCAGTCTGGAGTGCAGTGGCACGATCTCAGCTCACTGCCACCTCTGCCTCCCAGGTTCAAGCAATTCTCCTGCCTCAGCCTCCTGAGTAGCTGGGATTATAAGTGCGCGCCACCACAGCCTGGCTAATTTTTTTTTTTTTTTTAAAGACGAGGTTTCACCATGTTGGTCAGGCTGATCTTGAACTCCCAACCTCAGGTGATCCGCACGCCTTGGCCTCCCAGAGTGCTGGGATTACAGGCATGAGCCACCGCGCCTGGCCTAATTTTTGTATTTTTAGTAGAGATGGGGTTTCACCATGTTGGTCAGGCTGGTCTCGAACTCCCAACCTCAGGTGATCCGCCCGCTTCGGCCTCCCACAGTGCTGGGATTACAGGCATGAGTTACCTCACCCTGCCAATCAGGGCTCTTGGAATTCTTTCACTGATTTATCCCCAGCGCCCGGAACAGAATTGGTGCTCTGTAAATATTTATTGAATGAATGACATTGAACAAACAGTAGCATTGAACAAAATCTCCTCTATGCCTGGCCTGGTGATGGGTGGTGTGGGGACACAGCGGTGACCACTGTGGTTCCAGCTCTGTCCTGCTCGGGCTTAGGACTGTCCCAGTCCTAATAATGAAGGCAGTTCCAGGGCTCTGTCCTGGCTGGGGCTCCTGGAGAGAAGACAGGTCCATCCCCAGACAATGATGTCGCAGTGTGGTCACAGCTGGGGCCGGTAGCTCGGGGAGTCAGAGAGGGCTTCTTTGGAGGAGAGGGCATCTGAGGGAAGACATCAGTGTTGATCCCAGTGTAGACAG